AAGGGATATTAAGGCCTCCTTTTAATAGAGAACCGAACCAAAGCATTAACACATGGTGAATACATGAACTCCTCAAACTACGGTCATCACCGAGAAGTATCCGATTATTGCCACTTCGGGATTGTCGGATCATAACACATAATAGGTGACTACAGACATGCAATATAGGATCAAGAACACACATATATTGATGAAAACATAATAGGTTCAGATCTGAAATCATGGCACTCAGGCCCTAGTGACAAGCATTAAGCATAGCAAAGTCATAGCAACATCAATCTCAGAACATAGTGGATACTTGGGATCAAACCCTAACAAAACTAACTTGATTACATGGTAAATCTCATCCAACCCATCACCGTACAGCAAGCCTACGATGGAATTACTCACTCAAGGCGGTGAGCATCATGAAATTGGTGATGGAGGATGGTTGATGATGACGACGGCGATGAATCCCCCTCTCCGGAGCCCCGAACGGACTCCAGATCATCCCTCCCGAGAGAGATTAGGGCTTGGCGGCGGCTCCATGTCGTAAAACGCGATGAAACTTTCTCTTTGATTTTTTTCTCCGCGAGACGGAAGATATAGAGTTGGAGTTGAGGTCGATGGAGGTCCAGGGGGCCCACGAGATAGGGGGGCGTGCCCTACAGGGGGGCGCCCCCTATCTCGTGGACAGGCCCTGGGCCCCCTGGTGTATTTCTTTCGTCCAGAAATTCTTATTAATTCCAAAAAGTGCCTCCGTGGATTTGCAGGTCATTCCGAGAACTTCTCTTTTCTACACATAAAACAACATCATGGTAGTTCTGCTGAAAACAGCATCAGTCCGGGTTAGTTTTATTCAAATCATGCAAGTTAGAGTCGAAAACAAGGGCAAACGTGTTTGCAAAAGTAGATACGTTGGAGACGTATCAACTCCCCCAAGCTTAAACCTTTGCTTGTCCTCAAGCAATTCAGTTGATAAACTGAAAGTGATAAAGAAAAACTTTTACAAACTCTATTTGCTCTTGTTGTTGTAAACATGAAAAGCCAGCATTCAAGTTTCAGCAAATATTACGAACTAACCATACTCACAATAACACATAGGTCTCACAATTACTTACATCAATAGCATAATCAACTAGCGAGCCATAATAATAAAACTCGGATGACAACACTTTCTCAAAACAATCATAACATGATATAACAAAATGGTATCTCGCTAGCCCCTTCTGAGACGGCAAAACATAAATGTAGAGCACCTTTAAAGATCAAGGACTAACTAAACATTGTAATTCATGGTAAAAGAGATCCAGTCAAGTCATACACAATATAAATCAATAATAATGAATGCAAATGATTTGTGCTCTCCATCTAGTGCTTTTAATAAGAAGGGTGATGACTCAACATAAAAGTAAATAGATAGGCCCTTCGCAGAGGGAAGCAGGGATTTGTAGAGGTGCCAGAGCTCGATTTTGAAAATAGAGATTGAATAACATTTTGAGCGGCATACTTTTGCTGTCAACGCAACGCCTATGAGATGACTGTATCTTCCATACTACATGCATTATAGGCAGTTCCCAAACAGAATGGTAAAGGTTTATACTCCCCCAACCACCAACAAGCATCAATCCATGGCTTGCTCGAAACAACGAGTGCCTCCAACATACAACATCCCTGGGGGAGTTTTGTTTAATTATTTTGATTTGCTTTGATCTTTTTGGATCATGGGACTGGGCATCCTGGTTACCGGCCCTTTCTCGTGAATGAGGAGCGGAGTCCACTCCTCTGAGAATAACCCACCTAGCATGGAAGATATAGGCAGCCCTAGTTATTACATGAGCTGCTCGAGCATACAAAACAGAATTTCATTTGAAGGTTTGGAGTTTGGCACATACAAATTTACTTGGAACGGCAGGTAAATACCGCATATAGCTAGGTATAGTGGACTCATATGGAACAACTTTTGGGTTTAAGGAGTTTAGATGCACAAGCAGTATTCCCGCTTAGTACAGGTGAAGGCCAGCAAAAGACTGAGAAGCGACCAACTGAGAGAGCGACAACAGCCATAAGCATGCATTAAAATTAATTCACACCGAGTACAAGCATGAGTAGGATATAATCCACCATGAACATAAATATCGTGAAGGCTATGTTGATTTGATTCAACTACATGCGTGAACATGTGCCAAGTCGAGTCACTCAATTCACTCAAAGGAGGATACCATCCCATCATACCACATCATAATCATTCTAATAGCATGTTGGCACGCAAGGTAAACCATTATAACTCATAGCTAATCAAGCATGGCACAAGTAACTATAATCTCTAAATGTCATTGCAAATATGTTTACTTCATAATAGCTGACTCTGGAACGATGAACTCATCATATTTACACAAACAAGAGAGGTCAAGTTCAGACCAGCTTTTCTCATCCCAATAAGTCCATCATATATCATCATTATTGCCTTTCACTTGCACAACCGAACGATGTGTATAATAATAAGAGTGCACGTGCATTGGACTAAGCTGGAATCTGCTAGCATTCAACTCACGAGAGAAGACAAGTAATATGGGCTCTAAATTAAATAAACAATCATGCATATAAGAGCCACTAAGCATTTTCATATGGTCTTCTTGACCCCCAAAGGAAAGAAAAGAAAATAAAACTATTTACACGAGAAAGCTCACAACAAGTAAAAGAAGAACGAGAAATCTTTTTGGTTTTTCATTTTAATTTCTACTACAAGCAAGGAAATTAAACTAACTATTTTTTTTTGGTTTTTCTCAAGGTTTATCAATCACACAAGAAGAAGACTAGAAAAAGAAATTTAAACTAGCATGGATAATACAATGAAAGAGTATGAGCACCGACGACTAGTGTGTGAACATGAATGTAAAGTCGGTGAGAAATACGTACTCCCCCAAGCTTAGGATTTTGGCCTAAGTTGGTTTAATACCAAGGACCACCGTTACTCTCTCCGGTGTAATGAGAGGTATAATCAGGATACCACTGGTCGGTCATCTCCGGATCCCACTGGACAGATAATGCACGATAAGGGTCCAGCTCAGGTTCCGGCTCAGGTTCAGGTTCTGGAGTAAAGGCCTGAGCTCGATGATTGTTCACCGCCTCCAGTGTAACAAGAAATTTTCCTGCAAGCAGATCAAACAACAAAGGCGTAGGCAAAATAATAATGTCAAAGTGTTTCTTATTGAATCTAAGTTTATACAAGAGCATCCCATCTTCGTTGTCAACAATAAACTTATGTGCTACCATGCTCTTGTAATCTAGAATGTGAGGATGCAATATTGTCTCCTTTTCCTCATGGTGCCTAATGGGTATCTGAAAATGTCTAGCAAGACGTGCGGCATAGATACCTCCAAATATGGGGCCTTTTGCACGATTAAGGGCTAGCCGTTTAGCAACGACGGCACCCATATTAAAACTATTGTCTCCAAGCAAAGCATGTTGAAGCATGATAATATCAGGAACACTCAAGTTTCCACTATTCCCACGACCAATCAAGCATCTACTAGCGAATATGGCAAAGTAGCGTAAAATAGGAAAGTGTATGCTAAAGACTTTCGCTTCGGAACCCTTCTTTGGCTCCTCTACAGCGATAATATCAACAAAGCCAGCCACATCTTCACGATGGGGTTCCTCTAATTCTCCCTCATAAGGTATCCTACATACCGCACAAAAATGACGTAAAGACATTTCTTTGAACTCGTCATATAAATGGAATGATACTTCAGGCGGTGACTTCTTAGGATACAAATAAAAGTTTTGCACGAAAGTATTGGTGAGTAAGAGATACTGATCGATTCGGTCACTGATGAAACCGGTGAGGCCTGCAGTCTTGATTAAAGCATAAAAGTCTTCATGAATTCTAGCCTCTCTCAAGAAATCATCACATGGCCATTCACACGGTCGTACTTCCGTTAAGTGAGGAAGATTATACTTGGCTTTTTCCTTCTCTTTAGCTTGTTTTTCCTGGGAGCTTTGGCTAGAAGAGCCCCTCAAAAGTTTCCTCAACATTTTCTAAAAATTTCTAAAATTTTAGTAACTTCAAAATAAAAGTGCATAAAACCAAACAAGATTGATAACAACTACTCCTACAAGTGCCTAGAGCCCATATCATGCATTGGAGTTACTTGGAACCTCAAAAATTTAACATGCAAGCTCAAGAACATGGTCACCTAAGCAGCAAAAATTTGCAATGAATAAAGCACTAGAACAAAAACTAATTGGACCAATGGAGGAGTCACATACCAAGCAACAATCTCCCAAAGCAGTTTTGTGAATGGAGCTTTGAGCTAAGAGATCGAAAATCGCAGCAAAACGAGCTAGAACTTGTGCTTGAGCTGGATGGGGATTTTTTGGGGTAGAAGATGAAGTGTGTGGGTGCTGGCATAAGTGGAGGGGAATCACCAGGGCCTACGAGACAGGGGCGCGCCCTACAGGAGGGGGGGCGCCCTCCTCTCTCCCCGGCAACGGTGCCAGAAATTAGTCTTGATAACCCACAAGTATAGCGGATCGCAACAGCTTTCGAGGGTAGAGTATTCAACCCAAATTTATTGATTCGACACAAGGGGAGCCAAAGAATATTCTTGAGTATTAGCAGTTGAGTTGTCAATTCAACCACACCTGGATAACTTAGTATCTGCAGCAAGGTATTTAGTAGCAAAGTAGTATGATAATAATGGTAATAGTAGCAACAGTAAAGATAAATGTTTTTGGGTTTTTGTAGTAGTTGTAACAGTAGCAATGGAAAATTAATAAGCGAAGAACAATATATGAAAATCTCATAGGCAATGGATCAGTGATGGATAATTATGCCGGATGCGATTCCTCATGCAATAGTTATAACATAGGGTGATATAGAACTAGCTCCAGTTCACCAATGTAATGTAGGCATGTATTCCGTAAATAGTCATACGTGCTTATGGAAAAGAACTTGTACGACATCTTTTGTCCTACCCTCCCGTGGCAGCGGGGTCCTAGTGGAAACTAAGGGATATTAAGGCCTCCTTTTAATAGAGAACCGGACAAAAGCATTAACACATGGTGAATACATGAACTCCTCAAACTACGTTCATCACCGAGAAGTATCTCGATTATTGTCACTTCGGGGTTGTCGGATCGTAACACATAATAGGTGACTATAGACTTGCAAGATAGGATCAAGAACACACATATATTGATGAAAACATAATAGGTTTAGATCTGAAATCATGGCACTCGGGCCCTAATGACAAGCATTAAGCATAGCAAAGTCATAGCAACATCAATCTCAGAACATAGTGGATACTAGGGATCAAACCCTAACAAAACTAACTTGATTACATGGTAAATCTCATCCAACCCATCACCGTCCAGCAAGCCTATGATGGAATTACTCACTCACGGTGGTGAGCATCATGAAATTGGTGATGGAGGATGGTTGATGATGATCACGGCGACAAATCCCCCTCTCCGGAGCCCCGAACAGACTCCAGATCAGCCCTCCCGAGAGAGATTAGGGCTTGGCAGCGGCTCTGTATCGTAAAACGCGATAAAACTTTCTCTCTGATTTTTTTCTCCGCGAGACGGAAGATATAGAGTTGGAGTTGAGGTCGGTGGAGGTCCAGGGGGCCCACAAGATAGGGGGGCGCGCCCTATAGGCCCCCCCCCTTGTCTCATGGACAGGCCCTGGGCCCCCTGGTGTATTTTTTTCGCCCAGAAATTCTTATTAATTCCAAAAAGTGCCTCCGTGGATTTGCAGGTCATTCCGAGAACTTTTCTTTTCTACACATAAAACAACATCATGGTAGTTCTGCTGAAAACAGCGTCAGTCCGGGTTAGTTTCATTCAAATCATGCAAGTTAGAGTCCAAAACAAGGGCAAAAGTGTTTGTAAAAGTAGATACGTTGGAGACGTATCAACGCCCCATCTCTAAACCCTAGAACACTAGGCACCGCCGCCGCCACCACTCCTCCAGGGGCAGCAGCCAAGAATTGAAACCCAAGTTTCAATTATATGTGCTAAAAGCCTCTACTTCTCTAGCTACTGCTCTCTACTCTCTCCTAAGTTTCGGTGAGCAACAAAAAGCCTCTACTTCTCTCACCTAACCCTCTCTTTACTCTCTTCCCAATCACGCGAGGAAACATGAAAGGCCAGCACACTGCATATACGAACAACACTTCAAGTGTGCATGTCAAATCCTAAGATCTAGTAACATATAAGATGATATGTGATACTAATTAACAGTATGATCTAGAGATGCATATGTGATACTAATCCTATTAATCCATATGTGATACTAATCCTATTAATCCATATGTGATACTAATCCTATTAATCCATATGTGATACTAATTAACATAGGGGGCGGAGCGCCGCGTAGGGGCAACAAGGGGAGTGGCGAGTCGCCGCGGCAAATCAATTGGAGCCATCGAAGCGCGGAGCCACCGTGCAATACCTAAATCCCAAAACATGGCGAGCCATCGCGGCAAATCGATTGGAGCCTAACTAGTGTGGCGCGCACAGGGAGGAGGAGATCAAGGGGGACTTACGGGGCTGGAGCATCGGAGGAGGTGAGAGGCGACCGCGCGTGGTGGTGGCGCACGGCACCGTCGACGGGGGTGAGGCGGCCGAGGACGAACCCTAACCGCGGCGGCGTCGTCGGGTGGGGGGGGGATCAATTATGAGAGTGAGGGGGTGCGGGGGCGCTCGGGCCTTTTTTCTTTTGCTATAGTAGTAGCGCTGGTTAGAGGCCGGCGCTACTGCTAAGCCCACCAGCTATAGTGCCCGTTCAGAACAAATGCTACAGCTAAGTGGGCTACTGTTTTTGCCCTGCGACCCATGTAACAGTAGCGCGGTCCAAGCAAACAAACGCTGCTATTATATGTTAGTAGTAGCGTGTTTTCTGCCTAGCGCTACTAGTAAATACTAGTAGCGTGGGGTCATAAAAACGCGCTACTGGTAAACTTCTATCTATAAGCATTTTCCTAGTAGTGGGCTCGCCTGGTTCACCTGTGGAACATACCAACCCAAATTTTGTCATATGTTTGTAATTTACGGGTGGTATTACCTCTTCCTGAAGACGGGTGCGGCGTGTCGTAGTTGGCTCCGGCGCAGAAGATCCCGGGGGAGCTGCAGCAGCCGATCCCAAGGTTTGATGCAGGGGGACCAGCAGCAGCTGCAGCCGCGTCAGAAACAGAGGCTGGATCCTCTGTGCACCGGGACGACATAGCGACGTGAGACGGAGCCATACGCGCCGCAGAAGATCCCGCCTGGTGAGACTCATCACGCGGCAATGATTGAGCTGGTTACTCGCGCGTGCCGGGTGTGGGGCCCGTGCCAGGCGGCCATCTCAGATCCTGCCGCTTGTAGCAGACAGGCTGGATGGGAAAACGACCGCCCGTGGGCCCTGGTGAGTGAGGGTCGTCGCCACCGACCGCGTGCTGCCGCATGGCGCAGGTGGGGCCGCCTGCTGATGCTCGGTCGGGTGCGAAAGAGGCAGGTTGGGCGCAGAATCTGGAGCGGATCGCCTGGACCGATCTGCAGGCGGCGATCCCGAGGCGGATCCTGCTGGCAGGTCTGCCATGCCTGCGGGCATCGATCCCGAGAGGGATTTGCTCCCCAAAACCTGGCACATAAAATGTGGCCCTGTTGGGCAATTTTCTTCGCTATTTTCAACTCCGTTTTCTTCAGCATGGCTCCCTATATCATCACACAACTCAGGCAAAGTGGTGAGAGGGTTAGTCACAATAGAGCCATCAGAGTTATACTCCCCATGATCAAGACCAGTTAGGTTTGGGGGTAGAAGAAGAATTTCTTTCCGAAGTAAAGCACCGGCATTTGGATGTAAATCAGAAAAAGGAAATTTGGTTTCATCGAACACAACATCACGGGATATGTAAACTCGACCAGTGGAGACATCTAGACATTTGACCCCCTTGTGTTGAGAGCTATACCCAAGAAACACACATTGTTTTGAGCGAAACATAAGTTTGCGAGAGTTGTATGGTCGGAGATTAGGCCAACAGGCACACCTAAAGACACGGAGTGATGTGTAGTCAGGTTTGACATGAAGGAGTCGTTCTGTGGGTGTTTCATTGTTGATGACTCGGCTAGGAAGCATGTTGATGATGAACAGCCGTGAGAAAAGCTTCGTCCCAAAACTTGAGGGGCATGGAAGCACCGGCAAGAAGGGCTAGACCAACCTCAACTATGTGTCTATGTTTGCGTTCAGTTGATCTGTTTTGTTGGTGAGCGTGGGGGCATGACACATGATGAGATATGCCAAGTGTTTGAAAGGAGTTGACCTTTTCTTACCCCCCCAGTCGGATTGGACAACAATAATTTTGTTGTCAAACTTACGTTCTACAAGTGCTTGGAAATTTTTGAACACTTGAAAAACATCAAATCTTTTCTTAAGAAGATAAATCCAAGAAAATTTACTGTAGTCATCAATGAAGCTAACATAGTATGTGTGTCTACCAACAGAAGTGGGGGCAGGACCCCAAACATCAGAAAATATCAATTGCAAAGGTTGAGTAGAGACACTAGTGGATATAGGATAAGGCAATTGATGACATTTTGCTCTTTGGCAAGAATCACAAATAGTTTCAATGTTTCGCTCACCAACAAACGGGAGCTTATTTTCTTAAGCAAACATTCAACTAAGGAAAAAGAAGCATGTCCTAAACGATCGTGCCATCGTGTGAACGAAAGCTTGATAGCACCACAAGCTTGTTTATTTGATCTTGTAAACTCCGGAATCAACGGGTAAAGTCCTCGAACACATCTACCTCGATAAAGAACTTTCTTCGTGGCCTGATCCTTGATCAAAAAGAAGAAAGGATGGAACTCAATGAACACATGATTATCAATAGTAATACGATGAACGGAGAGAAGATTTTTGTTGGCACTAGGGACATGCAAAAAATTTCGAAGATGAATCTTGCGAGAAGGGGTACGTATAACCGAATGACCTATGTGACTTATTTTCATACCTGCACCACTTGCTGTGTGGATTTGATCCTTTCCATGGTATTTCTCATGAAGGGTCACCTTCTCAAGTTCCCCCGTGAGATGGTTGGTGGCGCCACTGTCAAGATACCAATTGGTATCGACACCGTATGACCCATCGGCGGCGGCAGCAACCTTATCATCTTCATCAGAGGAGGCTTCATCTTCATCAAATCGATACCAGCAGTCCTTGGCGGAGTGGCCAGGCTTGCCGCAGATCTGGCAACGCACGGCATTAGGTCGAGCTCTGCCTGAGCCGCCGTTGCTGCCGTCCCCGCCGCGACGGCCCCTGTTGTTGGTGAAGTTGGGGCGTCCGCCACGTGAGCCGGAGTTGCTGGAGCCGCCACCGCCCTGCTTGCCCTTGTGTCGAGGAGGACTGCGAGGACGGGAAGAGTACCCGCCGCACCCGCGAGTCGCCGTGTTGGCCGAGGACTTGAAGCCGCCTCCGGTGCTGTGAAACTGGGCCACGCGCTGATCAAAATTGCTCAGCATGGCATACAACTCGTCGAGGGAGACCGGAGTGACGTGGGCGTCGAGGGCGGAGACAAGGGGCTGGTAGTCCATGTCCAGCCCGTGTAACAGGTAGGAGATGAGCTCATCGTCTTGGATAGGCTTGCCTGCCGCCGCGAGTTCATCGGCAAGACCACGCATATGAGCGTACTACGCAACAACCGATTGGTTTCCCTTCTGTGCATTGATCAGGGCAGTACGGATGTTGTTGACACGACTCAAAGATTGAGAGGAAAACATGCCTGCAAGCGCCACCCAGAGGGCGTGCGCGGTGGTGGCCGTGGTCACCGCGATCAGCACTTCTTTGGTGAGATTGTTGAGGAGGTAGCCCAACACCTGCTGATCCTCCCTCACCCAGATGGGATGAAGAGGATTGAGCTCGGACGACTCTTTGCCTTCCTTGTCCTTGGTGACGAGGAGGCGGGCGGGTTCCGGCATGGTTCCATCGACATAGCCGAAGAGCCCAGCTCCCCTTAGCTGTGGTGTAACTTGTGTTTGCCACAGGACGTAGTTCGTCAGGGAGAGTTTCTCCGCGACCTGGCCGCTGAGATTGGTTTGGGCGGCGCTGGAGGAAGACATGGCTTTGGACTATGGAGCAGCTAGGGTTTAGGAAGAGGATGCTTCGATTACCATGAGCGAACAGGCGAAAGCGTCTTACCCTCGGTGCGAGGGGGCGTGTTGCGTGTTATAGGCAGCAGGGGCGCACCTCCCTGACAATAGCGCATACAAGTTTGTTGGAGAAGATTACAACTTGAAGAGGAAGAGATAAAGAGATAAAGAGGTTTACAAGATATTGAACTACTTGTCTAACCACCTAGCCTATCTCCTGTAGGACTCCTTGTGCGCCAATCCTCTGAACTCCAACGTGACATGTATATGTGTTTAACACTCTATATGGTCTTGCCTCTGTGGCCTAAACCGTGCTCCCATCACATACAATTCCACCACCAGTCTTGCCTGCATATATTAATTACTAAAAACGTCATCAATATCTACACACCATATGCATTTGCATTTTCTCTTCCACGGTTCAAATAACTTATAGAACAAATGTTAACTATAAATCCTATTGTTGCTTACCATTGAGTAGAAACCCGTCGAATTCTCGATGAGATCAGAAGGGGTACAACCAGCATCGTTCATAATGTGGGCATGCACTTTTCCTCTTGACAGCAGCTTGTAGATAGCTCGGTGCTCCCGCGTGATCACGGTCAAATGGAGCGGCGTATTTCCTTCGTTGTCTTTTGTGTTCAAAAGATGTTCCAGCATCATGTCCTTTATAACATAGGACACGATTGAAGACTGCCCTTTCATAGCCGTTGCATGCAAGAAGGTCCTGAAATGGTTATCACGAATGTCTGCGCAAGCAGGGTGAAACCGTAGCAACAAGCGGACAGCAGCTACATGGCCCATGAGTGCAGCGGCGCTCAAAGCTGAGAGTCATTCACTGTGCAGGTACTAGTAAATGTACATGTGCAACGGACGTCTCGGACAAAGCAACCTATACAATTCATGTGGGTATTGAATATCCAAATTCATATGAAAATTAATTAATTTTCATGTAACAGATGCTCCCTTGGGTGAAATGAAGCTCACAAGACACTATTCCCTCGGTTCACAAATACTATAATTTGGATATTTCAATATGAACTACTTACAGACTCAAATGAGTGAACAAACACACTAAAACGTGTCTATCTACATCCGTTCATATAAAAGTTAGAACATCTTATATTTGTGAATGGAGGGAGTACTAAGTGTGGACTTGTGTCATCTTGATCAAAGCAGCCTATGAAATTCATGCGAGTATTGAATTCTAAATTTAGATTCCAGAAATTTGATGTGGGGTGAGGGGTTAGAAATATATGTAGTGCCTGATGATCCCCACATCTCTCATGGTCAAGCTTAATACAAACCCCATTACTTATCTTTTGATGATGCCATGTGAAGTTCAAGAGGACAAGGAAATCCTAATCCAAGAAATCACAGTTGTATAGTCAAGAATGCAGGATGTCTAATTTCTTGTGTCAACTTGCAAGGACTTATATTAGGTATAGTCATTGTCCACATGAACATGACAGAGATGCAACTATGAGAAAAAATATATAAAAAAAACCCGTTCCCTCTTGGGTTGGGCCTCCATGTTATCTTCAGAAGTTTAATAGCTGGACTCGACTACCATGCTGCCCGTGGGAGTGATGGTGAGACGATAGAAGAGTCCACCAGTGGTTAAGACCATTTTGCCCCCATCCTGAGTCTCTCATCACCTGTGGTGCGACTTTCGTGAAAAAGAAGAAGGGAATTTAACATTTTTGTATGACCTATATGGGATGAAAAATTAGTCAGCATTTGCAAAGATTAAACACGAATTAAACTTGTCATCTCAAGATCTCAGCTGCGGAGAAAGGTCTAGTGTTCTAGAATAGAAAACTATACAGTAAGGTAAATAGGCATGAGTAGATCAGGCATGAGTAGATCAGGCGCTAGAATAATAATTGTTTCGCAAAGCTAAACCAGGAAAGGGCAAACCCACACAATATTTAGGAAGACCAAAGCCACACAAAAGAAGTTTCTAATGAGATGAATATACCCACAAGAAAACAAATTTATTAGCAAATTAACTACTCATTTATACTCAAAATAATAAAAGTGCACTGATGATGTGCATATCCTTCCTGGATTGACTGGTTTAAATTGTTGTCAGTGGTGGACCAAATGCAAGGGCAAATTCATGCCAACTGTGAATAAAAAAGAAAAAGAAAATAGAGTAACCTAATTGAGCAACGC